TTGAAAGATATTCATTATTTTTAAAACTATGTATTTGTAACTGAAAATGTTTGTCAATGAGAATGGATTCAACTGTATGCAAGATTGAAGGTTCTGTGTGCAATGATATGTGTCTAGCAGATAACTTGTACGTAAGTTAGGTTTCAGTTTGTGATTTCATTTTTTTTTTAGTGTTAGTAAATAACTGTGTACATGCAGAGAACATAAATTACAGAACTTGGTGAAAAAATGTGTTTCATTTTTTAATACATCATATAATCCTTATTTACTTATTAAACTTTCTATTTCAAATTGCTGAAGTGTTTTTCTTTTGACATGTTGATAATGTTTTGCTGAAGTGTTTTTCTTTTGACATGTTGATAATGTTCGTCAACTTGGAATAAATATCAATAGTTAAGCATTCTTTTAAAAACAATTGCCAACTTGCATCTGATAAGTAACTTTCATCAATATGCCAGACTGTATCATAGTAAGTACCCTATTTTCCCTCGTTTTAGGAGTCTGGAGCCGAGATTGTGTGCAAAGCCAAAAGCTGTATTTGGTATAGAGTTTGTGCAATTCTCTGTATTTTTTTTTTTTTTTTTTTTTTTTTCCTGAATGAAAACAGATTACTGTGTACATGGGAAGAACCGTATAAAAAAATGAGAAGTATGCATGTTTTGTGTGGAAAGAGAAAAATGTAAAAAATAAGTGGCACTAGATGACTAATCAAAATAGATGTAACGATACCCAAATGAAGCATTCTTTTCAAAGTCACTAACATATTTTTGTTTGTGATAGATTCCAGTTCAGATAATTTTAGGAAGTTTTTGGATGCTGTTAAGGGATTTTGTAGAGGTAGGTGGATATTTGTTTTGTGTAATGCTTAAATGTGGTAAAACTGGATATTACGGTCCAGTTTGGCCCGTTTTAAAAAAATTGCCAAGTCGCCAAATCGGTTGTTTTCACACGTGTTACAAAATCGCTACCTCATCATATCCCCATATTAGATCCCAAGTAGAACATGACGTAGCAAAGACGTTACTACGACCACTTTGCAACCTCTTGGACCAGTTTGCAATGTCTTTGCTACGTCATGCGCTACTTGGAATGGTTGCGAATTTGAATTAATTCTGTAAACATACAAAAATAGATCATTTAAACATGCAAAAATATCTAAAACAGGACAAGAAAAACCAACCACTGCTTGGTGTGTTTTTAAGAATTGCACATACTCGGTATCCATGTGCACATCGACCTATTTTCACTTTAAAAAATATCCCAGAATTGCAAAAAAATGGTATTGTGCACTCCTTTGACTTTATCCATGTACACATCAACCTATTTTCACTTAAAAAGTAAAGTAAAAAAAAAAAAAAAAAAAAATTACAAAAATCCATTTGTTCTTACTCTTGTAAAAAGCACCAAACAAATAAGTGGGTGATTCTGCTCTTTACCCAATATATTTGAAAGTTAATAACTACGTATTTTATAGGATCAACAATACTAAAATTTTTCATATCATATACCATTTTTAAGACAGCAAAATGGAGTAAAGCATTTTATACAAAATTTAAGAAATTGTAATAAGCAGTAAATGATCGGAAGGCATTGATTCGTATTTAAGCCAAGAGGTTACCAGATTTGGCGCGATTTCATTTCACTTGGCGATTGGACCGTAATCTCTGGTCTAGCCCTTAAATGCATAATCAAATAACATAATCCCTTTTTATGTTATTTGATTGTTTGGTTTAAAATGTAGTTTATTGAGATTATATATTTTTTGTTACTGTAGAATTGGGTGCTCCTTTGAGTTTTTAAGTGAAAATGTGGGGAAAGGGCAGAATCGCCCACTGCTTGGTGTGTTTTTAAGAGTCACACATACTCGGTATCCATGTACAACTTCGACCTATTTTTCACGTAAAGAAACATTCCAGAATTGTACAAAAATGGCATTGCACACTCCCTTGGTTTATCCATGTACACATCGACCTATTTTCGCTTAAAAAGTCAAAGAAAATTGACAAAAATCCAATTCTTCTCACTCTTGTAAAAAGGCCCAAATAAATAAGTGGGCAATTCTGCACTTTACCGAAAAATATATCGACGTGTACATGGACAAACTCAAGGGAGAGCGCAAAGCCAAGTTTGTGCAAGTCTCTGATTTTTTTTAGGTGAAAAGAGGTCGATGTGTACATGGATAAAGTCAAGGGAGTGCGCAATTCTAGGATGTTTTTTTAAGTGAAAATAGATTGATGTGTACATGGTTACTGAGTTTGTGCAATTCTTTGTCTTGTTATTTTGGCTTTGCGTAGTGGTGATTTTTGCGGTGTACATGGATACTGAGTTTGTGCAATTCTATATCTTGTTGTTTTGGCTTTGCGTAGCGGCGATATCTGGCGCAAAAACTGCTGCTACACAAGCCAAAATAACAAGTTAAAGACTTGCACAAATTCGATATGCATGTACCGCCAAAAATCGCCAAGGAATACCCTAAAATATACTTTTACCAATTTTCCATGTCATGAAAAATTGCACTAATTGATTAATTTTTTGAATAAAGAAGAAAACAGAATCACACTGTTGTGCAAATTGGTTATTGCATAAACTGAATTTGCATTTCTCTTTACTTCAATGCACAATCGCATAATTTCAAGTTTTGCAGAGATTTTCTTACATTTTAATATCAAAAACAACTGATTGATTAAATTTACATTTAACACCTCTAATAATAAACAAACTGAAATATAATGAGGCTACCACAGAGTGTTCTGGCATTTATTAGAAATAATTTCCTTATGCACTAAACAACCTGAATTGTAATCTGAACTGAATGTGGGGGGAAATTATTGACTGCCTAATAAAACTAACTTCAATGTACAAAATGCATAAATTCTATAAGCAGCGCGTGCATTTTCTCTTCTGTCATATGGTTTCTTTTCTGAGTTGAAGCCTGATTAATAATTTATGGGAATATCAGATTTACTGATATCATTCAAAAAATGAAACATTACAATCAACTGATGATTACTACAATACAAGTGCACATATTTCTTATGAGAACTGTGAGAGGTAAAAGTCATCAAACTGAAGGGAAATCTGTGCAGCTATCATGGAAGCTAACTGACAGCTAAAAATGGGGATGGGGGGAACTATTGCTAGACAGGAATTTTAATTAAAACATAAATAAATGAAGAATTATCCATACAGTAATAATAAATATATGAATGGCTTAAATACAGGGTGCTTATAAAGTCCCGGACCCATTTTGATGTTTAATAACTCATAAAATAATAAAGATAGATTAAAATTAATAACATAAATGGTTAGATAGACTCAAGTTTCATAACCCTTGTCAATGAACTTGCGACGAACGTATGCCCCCTTCGTCGCACGGAGAATATCAAGTCGATAATTCAATTTCACGCCAGGTACCGGCAAGCATGTCGGCATTCACAGAGGCTATTGCGATTGTAATTCTTCTGGCTTTTAGGTCATCAATGTTCGACACTCTCCTTCTGTAAACGTTGTCCTTTACAAATCCCCAAAGGAAAAAGTCCATAACATTGCAATAGTTGCCAAAAACAAAAGACAGAAAAATGCAATTAATAAGCAGATGATATTTAGGAAAGTACAGATATTTAGACTGGAAAATGAAATTATCTGAAATTAACCACACATGCAGACGATGTTTACAAAAGTAAAGATATTCAAACCTGAAAAGAAAAATATATGTTATTCAATCAATAAATGCCATAAGTTTGTTTATATCTTCATTATTTTATGAGTTATTAAACATCAAAATGGGTCCGGGACATTATAAACACCCCGTATAATGTACTATGTAATGGCTATATAAATGTACATATTTATATGAGTAACTCAAACATATGAAACAAACAATATCAGATGAAAGTTCAAAACTTAATTATTAATGGATAAAACAATGAACAAAAATACATAAGCTATAAAATTAACTGTATGGGGTAATATATTTTACACATAGTATTAAAATAATTCAACAAACAAAAATTTCTAATTTAAGAATCAGATAGACATTTTAATTTTTACAAATTCTGAGTTATAAGTAAGCGGCAGGCAGTTAGAAACATTTATAACAGGGTAAAAGTTTACAATTGCGTGCCCCTTGTTTTTTGGCGATTCTTCTTTTTTGACGCCAAGATTGGCGCCAGGAAGACACAATTTCAAGATGCCTGCTACACAAAACCAAATTAAAAGTCAGGGAATTGCATAAACTCAAACTAATCCAAGTGTCCATGTACACATCGATCTGTTTCACTTAAAAATACATCCCAGAATTGCACAAACTAGGCATTGCGCACTGCTTTAAATTTGACCATGTACACATCAATCTACTTTTATTTAAAAAAAATCAGGAGGCTAAAGCAAAGTAACCAGAAATGAGATTTCATCGGCAAAATTTTTCAAAAAATTGTCACTAATCAAAGGAACACCCAATTCTACACTAGAGCTGGATCTATCAGTGATATATATATTAATTGATGTTAATATATAATAATTGGATAGAAAATTATGACAAAGTACATAATAGCTGAATAGCTGTTTAACATGAGAAATAGATTTCAAGGAAAATATTTTGATTCAAAAGACCAAAAAAATGTATGCATTAACAGTTTTGAAGACAATTATATAAGTAATTTAGTTTAGCAATGCACATCAGAATTACCTATTCTTTACAAAGTCTTAATTATAAGAAATTGACTTGTATTTACTCTCATACTACATAGAGGAAAAACCACATAACCAATTACTTCATTGCAGCTATTCAAATTCAAGACACAATTACCACACCTCAGTGATCTTACCCTCATATAAGAGGGCTGCAGAAGATAAGACAATGATCACAGAGCTTTAAACACTTCAGGTATAAGTAAGCATACACTACTTTAGTTTTCACAATACCATATGTAATCACTTATGCTAGAGAACTCAATCAGTTACACTGTGATTAATAAACTGTGATTTAGCTAAAACATTACCATATTTCATATTATTCCACATTGAACGTAATTTAGTCTTGACCTGTATCTGATCACTAGAGTTTGTACTAGATGGCAGTGCATTTCTCTTCTTGAATACAAAAGTAGGCGATCCTTCAATCTTTGCTGGCACAGTTTCTTTTCCTACATTACTTTCTTCAAAAATGCTATCATTTTGCCTTTTATTTATTAACTGCCCTATAGACCAAGAGTTGCTAGAACATGGTTTAGATTTGTTATTTACATGACTACTTTCGTCTGAACTATGTTTAGACTTATCACAGAAAAGCAAAGATGAATTATTGGATTTAGTTATTCTTGGATAAAGGGATGAATCTGGTTCGTTTGATATATGCCATACAGACTGCTTGCCCGTTTTACAGTCTTTGTATGTAAGCTCGTTCGGATAGGGTATATCGGAATGGAAAACATCATTAACGTAAGAACTTTTCTTGTCCTTTATATCACAAACATTTAGATCTGGAAACGTCCAAGACTCTTCAGGACATTTAGAGTCATTAGACTCAGGCATATTTTTTACTGTAGGAACATTTCTGCTCTGAGTATCATCCAGATCCAGGTCTTGAATATCATCCAAAATCCACGAATTAAGGCGTTCATCCACATCTAGATGTAGCGCTTTCGGAAAAAAATTTTGTGCATCTGGAGAACTTAACCTCGACATTAGGGTACAAATTTATAAAAACTGTCTAAGTGCATTTCAAAAAACATTCAACCCATAATTTGAGCACACTTCAACATGTGGAACACTTCAAACACCATGACGGAAAACAAAATACACTTATCGCACTCTCATAAGTAGGTTACGCAAAAGCCATTGGATTTACTCATTCATACTCAAGTTGCCATTGCAACATAATACTCGCTTATGCAATCACGGTTAACTTTGAAAACTTCACTAAACTTTAAAAATTAAAAAAATAATAATAAAATAAATATGAAATATTTTAAAAAAGTCAGTTGCAAAAACTAAAAAAAAATGCAATCTGAACTGAAATTCTAATTCACCAGAAACACCTTAAATAATTTTAGAGTTTCCAAAAATTCAAGCTATAAAATATGAAATTATTTACTCTTCAAAGCAACACCGACTGCTCAAAGCAACATGACTATACTTTCTTGAATTTGTCCAATTTCCCAACGGTTCCAATCGTCACCATCGAGATAGACAAGGCCTGCGCTCTGAAACGAAACTGGCTTGTGACGTCACGGTTAAGGGACCCTCAGCAAACTTTTTATCGGCTTTATAAGTTAATTTTTATTCATTATGTTTAAGAATTGAATTTATGTTTACTTTGACATCTGAAGCATCTCCCTTGTAATAATTACTAACACTAGTAATATAAAAATTGTCAGCAAAAATTTATGATATTTATTTAATTGAAACTAATTTTATATGAAATAACTGTCCTAAGGGTTAAAAGCATAAACTTATTTCATTACATAATATGTAGAATTCAATCAGAAGTAATTTGATTCTTGGCAGAGTACTGTGTTCTTAAATTTAAATATCAATGTTTTTTGCAAATAATAAATATCATTTTATCATGATGAAACTTAAAGGATTGTTAGCTAATATAGCTCTGTTCACTTTTATAGTTATTATATGCAATCAGTTTGTTTAAAATTTGTTACGCAATATAAATCTTTCTGAGAATAATAGAAAAGTCTAAAGTAATGTAGTAAATTCATATTAAGGTAATTAAATTGCGAAACTGCAAATGAAAATTTTAACATGTACAGTTATGCAGAAGCAGTTAGTAATTGAATTCATATGTAGACATAATTTTTAATTTATTCAAATTCAATGCAATTTAAAAAAATTTTTTTAATTATCTTTAAATTACATCTTTAATTTGAGTACGTGGCATCACCAAAAGCTATGTAAGTTAAGTTAAAATAATTGCTTACATATACAGAAAAGTTTTGAAACATGATGTTAGGATTTATATTTTTCTTTTTATGTGGATATTAATAGAAAAATATTTTCAGAACAGAGGTAAACGCTTAAGTTAAATAGGTATGATAAAGAAAGAAATTTCAGTTTCTAAAAGTTTTTTAAGTATTTCGTATATTTTAAAATATTTTCAAAAAAATTGTGTATAACTATATTAAAAAATTTTTTCCTGTCTTATTGGAATTTTAATATTGATAGTCTTCGAGCTATGTATAAACATTATCTCAATTTAACTACAGATTCTGTCGAATAATTATGTAGCATTAGAGGAAAAACTTAACTAAACAGATTACATCAATATGTAAGTTAAGAAATAATTTTAAGACTAGACTTTAGTAATTTTATTACATTCAGAAAATTTTCTGACTGATATAAGGCATTTAAATGTTAGTCTAAATATTAAGTAGTCTCTTGCATTCGTTTGATGTTTATAATCCTGCTACATTAATATGATAGATATAAATATACAATATTATGAATGAGAGATAACATGTTTCCCAATGGCAAACATTTTGTTAAAGAGTGGGTGGAAACAAAAAAATTTGATGCGGTGATGAGAATCAACAAGAGACCACAAGGACAGTGCAGAAAAAATCAAAGTAAAAATTTTAGCTACTGAATTTTTAAAACCAATTTTTTCTTCAAAAAATGATTTGCTTTTAAAGCACCAACCATCTCAAATAATTTTGTTTTGAAAATAAATACCAACAAAAGAAAATGAAAATATTTCATATCGTATAAGCTTTGTAAAACATTAGATTGCCGCTTGTAATTTGTTTTAGACTGATTTATAGTACGAGATACCAATTTCATAGAATAGGTTTACAAAAACGGGTGTTTAGCAAGGAAGCTAAACTGCGCGAAGACCGGTCCCCTAGCAGTGACGTAGTAACTCAGCGCGCAGGCCTTATCTATCTCGATGGTGACGTTCCAATGTTGTGATTAAAAAAAGGTCCGTTTTTCCCATTTTTAATGAAAGCTGTAAATACAGTCATTACTTGTCAGAACTTAAACTGCCAGCAGAGTCCGGCTGCTGCAGTTCTTAATTTTTTCGGGTCTCAAAGTAGGTGGGCTCCGACACTTTTATTTGACACAACTGAACTACAGTTTCAGCGGTAAATACTTTTAATCTGTAAATTTAATTTTAGTAATAGGTAAACCTTAGAAATCGATTCTAACTTCTGACCTCATATCTCTCTAAGAAACAAATTCTTGCACGGAGGTTGAGACTTTTAAGTAAGGAAAAGTCCCCCACCCCACCCTCATGGTAAAGGCTTATTACTAATGCAGGTCCAATGCTAGTGAATTCCTGCAGAAAAGACCATCTGCAAACTCTTTAGAGCAGTGTTTCCCAACTTTTTTTGTGCTAAGCCCCAACTAATTCTCTTTGAAATTCTTATGCTCCTCCTAACATATACATAATTTTTAATATTCAAAAATTGAAATGTTCACGAAAGAAACTTGAATGATAGGTTTTAGAAAGAAATCACTAGGAAATTTTTTGAGCAAACATAGTAAGTAAACTTTCAAAATATGGAGAAGTGAAATTCAAGAACAAAATAATTTAAAAAAATTTCTGTATTATTTTATGTATTAGTAATTATTTATTTAAATTTAGTGAGATCCTTGTGCTTGATGCTTGCTCTCAAAGAATTTTATGTCTGGTTCCAATTTAATTAACCTGAGTCTCAAGTCTTCCCGTTTTATTATATCCAGACGATTTCTTCTTTCTTTAGCAACAAATCATTTATGGCACTAAATCAGCATTCAGCAAAATATGAAGATGGAAACGGTAACAATAGTTCTCTTGCACATTTTGTTGCATTTGGATATTTGATTTTGCTTTCCTCACAAAGCCATTCCATCGCTCCTTTTATATTAACTAAAGTTTTAATTGACTGATCATTTTGCATTTCTGCGAGTTCTTGATACTGCATATTTGAAATATCAGCGAGATACTCTAACATTAGCTGCATCATCGAAGTTGGAAAATCACTTTGTTTCAAATTAGAGAAAAACCTTTCTTTTAAATCAGCCGATAAAATTTTCAGATGATCGTCAGTAACATGTATAGCGGTATCACACACTTCCCTTTCTTGGAGCCAATGAAATTTTTCATAATTTTTGTTGCAAATAGTATAATTTGCCTGACATAATTAAACAAAGATAATGAAACTAAATATCTTAACCTTTGCATGGACGAGTTTATTTGCTCCTTGAAGCAGTTTATTTAATACATTTAGTTTTCCAAAGATATCGGCTACACCAAAGAATATGTATTCAATTCTTTGGCTTCACCAAAGAATATGTACCAAAGAACGTCTATGATATAGGCTACATCAAAGAATATGTATTCTTTGGTGTAGCCGATATCATAGACGTTCTTTGGCTAAATTCATTTCAGGTTTGTCGCTTAAAAAATAACTAAGAGTATCAAATAGTTCCATAAATATTTTCAAGCATTTCCCTTTCGATAGCCATCTTACTTCAGTATGAAGTCTCATATACTCTTCATTTTGTTCTTCATAAAGTAACTTGAAAAGACGTTTACATTTGGCCCTAGCTTTAATAGCATTGATAGACTTTATAACTGAATTTAGTACTTTATTTAGAACTGGCGAAATGTTTTTACTTACCAGGTTTTACCTATGAATATGATGAGAATTAAGAAATGCACAAGAAGCATCTCTTAATTCTCATCTTTCATCAATTTTAAGCAACCCTTTTTTTTTATTCCATTCTTTATTTTATTTTTGAACTATCATATTAGGAGCACCATCTGCAGCACAAAATGTATTGTATTTTTTATTGATTTAAACAAATTTAAATTTAAATTAGTGATTTTTTTAGCTTAATATCTTTGGGGGTAGTGGTGCTTTCTAATAATTTATGACACTAATAACATTTCTTCGGCAAAATCACCTCTATGACTATATTTTACGTAAGTTATAAGTACGGCCTCACTGTCTCTCAAAGCTGATTCATCCATTTGCACCGAAAATTTTCTTGTTTTCAGCTTTCCAACAAGTTATATTTCAATATCCCCACTCATTTCATTTATTCTATTGTAACAGTATTGTTACTTAATAGCATAGCTTTAACGTCTTTGTCATCTTTTTCTAGAACAGTTTTAAGAAATGCTGATATTGATGGTTTGATTAAATTCTTCTCTGAAGTAGGATTTTCCCACATTTAGCGATGAGTAATGAAATTTGATAAATAGCCAAAAGAACACGATTAACAGTTGCATCATGGGCGGTAAATAGAGAATTTAATGTTAACCTTTTTTTTTTCAAAATTTTTCTTTTAAATTTTGAAAAAAATTCTAATTTGAATTAATATGAGCATTACGTTTCGCCTTAAAATGTGCCTCAAGATTACCTTGTTTCATTGATTCGTTGGTCAGATATTGTTGGCATAAAAACAAAAAGGTGACCGTTCATTGTGTACAGCGGGTATGAAACCAAATTTTAAATATTACTCCGAATGCTGACGAACCTTTTTCTTGCTTGCAACCATCATTTCACTAAAGGCTGAAAGAAATAAATATAAGGTTGTAGAGACATTAGATTTTTTTTTTTGGAAGCAGGCAAGATGAAAAACTGGCAATGCCTTCGCCGGGAATCGAACACAGACCGCTGGAATACGCGCCCAGCGTGCAGACCACCACAACACGAAGACATGCTAAGAAGGTGGGAGAAATACCTTATATACTCCCCCTTTTAAAGGGCGGCTGGGGTTTTTAGGGGACCCAATCACCAAATCCTGGGTCTGGAGAACTATCATCCACCACTCTTTTAATTTGGGCGCCACTGTAGAGACATTAGGTATTTTTGGAAGTAGGCAAGAAGGAAAATGAGCAAACACCTTCTCTGGGAATCGAACCGCGAACGTCTGG